TGATGGCAGCCTCGCGTGGTTATCAACAACGGAATGTCAAATTCTCCAAACCTTATGCTGCTTAGATTGCTAGGAATTTAAAAGAACTTTCATATGAGGTGATTTTCCCCTGAAACATTTCAATACCACCAATATTTCACCACCCCCATAGATTAACATGAAGCGGTAAGTGGCAGCAACAGAAAGCTAGAAAGCTGAACAGCACGGATCGAAACCAAGTCAAGATCTCGGCGACCCGGTGTCACAGCGACACTCAACTAATGTCTTCTGACGAAGGTGAACACGGGCGACGAGAAATTGGCGTCTTCTGACGGAGGTGAACATGGGTTACACGAGGCTGGCCTCTTCTGACGGAGGTGAACACGAATGACACAAGATTGGCGTCTCCTGACGGAGGTGAGCACGGATGACACAATGACCCGGATGACATCTGAAGGAAATGAAAGCATACGAGTGTATGGACCTGGCTTGTACGCGGTGGACCTCAGTGAGCTCAATGAGCCTAATATTTCGAAAGCTCGGCAAACAAAGTGGCATGGGAAAACACTGGTCAGACCGCATCAAACAGGTGTGACTGACCAATGATTAAAAGACCTTTCACAGTTTAAATTGGGCCAAAGTGGTCGAATTAGCACTCAGCACCTGCTATTTCAAGAACTAACATGTTACGACAATGCGGAAGACAGCGTGAATTAGCTCTTAGAAAACTGTCTCAAATGGGGACTAATAAACGTGGCACATGTGATCTGTAATACGTCATAGGCGGTCAAAGTTAGCAGGGTACAAACATCAAGTCAAAAGATTGTTGCGTCGGCTCGCACTGTAATGTCAAAAACTAAGCAGACCACAGTATTGGGGAAAGAAACGCTTCCGTTCAGGTTTAAGTACCATAACCTTGAAAGCGTCAAATCTGGTCACAAAGGTCGAAGTGTGATCTAGCTTGCCCTTAGATGACATTATTTTGCCAAATCACCAGAATGATACTAATGCACTTCAGAGTGATATAGATACGAACAGTAGTCTACAGTCTCTTTGGAATGCACTACGTGAAACAAATACGAGTCAGTACTCACTTGAACAAAGGAACCCTGACATGATCTGGAGAAAAACATCATGGATCAGGAATAAAACTGGGACAGGAACAAAGGAACCCTGACATGATCTGGAGAAAAACATCATGGATCAGGAATAAAATCGGGACAGAAAATTGACACGCTCATAACGTGTAAAAAAGACATAAGCTACGCTACCCGATAGTGCCGCACCGTGATCCAAACTTTCCAAAGTTTTTCCTTAAAATCCTTCGGGTGGCTTCTGCCCCACAGTAGGGCGAGAGTTAACTAATAATTAATATTTAATGTTATGACAACATGAAATATAGAAAAACTAAAACTGATCTAAAACCAACGAGCCTGGCCGGGCTCCCAGACATTTGCGAGCAGGTAACTGGTAGATTGGCGTGAGGCTTCAGCATAAGTGGACATGGTGTTAGATGTCAAAGGTGTCTGTCTTGATTAGCTTAGCTTTTGCCATCACCTCCAAAACATCTGACAATTTCCACTCACGTTCTCGCCTCGCTCATCCCACTCAGAACACGGTGTTATGCTAGTTGTGTTTTAAATCCGCATGCGCGAATTTAAAATACACAACCGGATGTAAAATACCAACCGAAAGTATACAATAAACCATATACGATTATACCTTAGAACTGCTCATTTACAGGTCCTCGTTGACCTCTAGAGATCATGCTATTCAGTGAGTGATACAACGTATACATCGGAGAGGTTATCTGAACGTTGGCGATGTGACTGAAATGGCAAAGGGGTGGTCAATATATGCTGGGTATGAATACCAATCTTATGCCACTTCCATACCCCACGCCAGCTCTCGGAGTTCTGGCCAGCTGTAGGCTGGACGGATGGCCCTTGTATACTATCGGAGCATCCAGCGCGCAGTCCTGTCTTAGCTTGACCTGTGGGAAATGGTAAAAATTGAAATTGATGAGAATATATTTAAGAAACTGCGCGTAACGTTAGCAGGTGCTGTAGAAAGGCCGTAAGGAGCTACCCGATATGTTTGGTGCTAAATATCTAAATATTTGTATATATATTACATATAATATACAATAAATATAATAAATATCTAAATATAAAAATAATATGGCGCTAAATACGCTGCAGAAGGTATTACAAACAATGTACAAAAAATATCTTCCGAAAAACGAACACGTGTTTCAGAAGAACTTTGCATTATTCGTTGGGCTTTTATGGAAATTTCAGTGCATTGCTAACTGCTTCTTTTCATACTTTTCCTGTCAATTTCGAAGTCTCAACAACAATGGCCTACGTTCGGCATCCCATTAGTCGTACGAGGGATGGTGTTTCGTGCTTGTTTGGCTCGTAGTGGAAAATGCCACCAGCAAAATGTTGTTCGCGTCATTATTTGCATTAAAAAAACAGCTGTGGTTTTGCACAGCTGGATTCCCTACTGTGTTAGATGTCACAAGTTTCCAGCTACTTCCTAGTTTCGCAGCTTTTAGTCTCTCGACTATGTATTTGCCTACCGGCGTTCAACTTAAGATCAACCGGACCCATTGTGTGTTCGAGATGTCTTCCTCCCGTCACTGAATTCATTGTGGCGATAAGTACGCGTGGTCAAAATATCTCAGCATGCGCTGGCAGGCTGCAGTGGAGGCAGGCGCTCAGTGCCTCCGTGATCTTTTTCAGTTCAGAGGGTTATTTTCACGCGCTCTGCTTATAGGAGCCCAAAAAAAACATTGGGCGGATTCACGTCCAGAAAATGCATCGACCACCGTACAAGGACCTCTTTTCCTTTCAAGAGCAGACCAGATGTCGTTCAGCGCCTTGATATGCCGGAAAAGGTTGGTCTCGCCCCAAATGCACCCAACAACTGAAAAGAGCTTGCTGCCGCCATAACATTAATCGATGTCATGGGGCAAACGATTAGATCCATGGGCGCGCAAGCTTACGTAGGTGACGGGCATACACATGTGAAACTGTTATCAAATATCGCGAAAATGTCACTACATTTGAAAAAAGAAACAGAAGCGTTCCAGAAAATCAGGATTTGGTTCTCTGATGGACACATTCGGTACTCTGAGGAAGCAAGCCCGGCTGTAGACCGTGGGGATCATTTTCCCAGGGATTGATAGATAAGTGGCGCCTTCGGCTGCCAGGTTAGGGGCCTGGGTTAGAGTCTCGGTTGCGCCATCGGTGCTGAATGCTCGTGTGGCCACTGCAGTTTCAGGCGCTACATAAAAGGGTGCGTGATCCCTTGCGTTGTACCTGTCATTAGGAGGAACCTTTTCTCATCCGGATCCTGATAACAAAAATATCATTCGACAACGCATACAGACAAACTGCCTATGCCTCAAAAGGTTTCAATCTAATTCGCTCGCCGAATCCCACAGATATCCGGAAGATTGGGCGTCTCTCACGTAGCAGTAATGGTGGCTTTCGGGCGCTCCGACTGCACGACCATATAGTGCACGAGGGCGTCCCTCACGAAAAAGCAACTTTGGACGCCAGAGTTTGATCCGTCAACACATTTAAGATATATGTGGGTCGTAAGCCGGGATTCAGCAATCTACCATTCAATGACCGACCTAAACACCGAAAGCTGCACAGGGAACTGAACAGCGACGCAATATTTAATAGCACGTCAACGCCACAAGGTTGTCAAGGAACAACCCACGCTGTTCTCAAGGAAGGGTAAACATCCTTAAAGGAATTCGAACCCGCTGATTCGTGCTATACTTCGCCCCAGCAGCGAAGTCTTCTGCTTCCTGATGTTGAGAAGAGACCGAGACTTCACTTACACATCGAATACGGGTTAGTAGCCTTTCGTTCCCCCCACATTCCACATCTCCGGGCTGAGCTGAATAAGCCTCTTCGAGAAATCCAAACAAAATGAACCATGAGAAAACAGGGTGAAAACGCAGTAGTGGTAGATGGTGGTCACATGGCGAGCTTGTTTTAGCGTGAGCATGTTTAAGACAAAGGCTACCAGGCTTCACCTACAATCCCACAAACCCCCAAACCCCCGTCGGCGTAAGGCCCCGGGCCACGTCGTAGCCGTGATAAGGTCCGTACAGTGACACCATATGCGGTGACCTGCACGACGCGAATCCAGGCCGAGCGCCGCCCTTCCACAGGTACCCCCTTGATCACGTCCCAAATTAGTCTATGCTTAGTCGCGATCCCGATCAGAGCAGAACTAAGCCACGGAGCATGTCGTGGTAGAAAACGGCGGACACAGGTGCCGGTCTTCTTTCGTTCCGCCCCTGACTACTGCCGCCACCAAACCCGGCGGCCGATCGCTCGCGCGACGAAACGCATCAAGTCACGGCACATCGAAACATACTCCGCAAGACAGGCAAACCGCGTGCCCGGCGGTACGGCGGCGCGGGAGCGATCGGGAGCATCGCGGAAATAGGCGGCGGCCAAACGAGCGCCGGCGGGAACTCGAGACCGCAGTTGCCGGCCAAGCAGACAATAATAGCAGAAATAACAAGCGGCCGCGCTGGCAGCCGGTGGTTCCCAACCCAGGCGGGCCAGGCGCCGTCGGCGACGCCCGCCGGCTCCAGCGGCCACCCCGACAGCGCGCGAGGCTCACGCTGAGGCCGACGGGCCACCCCAGGGGAGGGGCGTCGTGCGCCTCGGCAGCCGCCCAGCCGGTTTGAGGTCCTCCGGGGACATTTTGTCGGCGACGACAAGCTCGTCTGTCCCCGGTCCGATTTAGCCGGCGCTGTTGTTTTAATTAGAGTCGCCACGCGGCGCTGAGCAAGCCGGCACAGGTGGCTGACCAGGTCCCGGTCGGCGACGGCGGGGCGGCAACCGCGGAGGCGGCCCGGGTCATGGGAAACGCGTACAGGCCTAACTCAGGTGATGGTAGGAAGAAATGCGTCAGCACATGGCCTGAACCAATGAGGTGGCACCGTTGCTGCGATGACAGCAGTGGTGCTTGAGCATAGGGCTGTTTGTTGAAGTAGCGTGGCGAAGAAAAATGAGGTGAGAAGGATCGGTTTGACCTCCATCGCGACAGCGGTTGATGATCTTTGTAGAGGACTGTTCATCATGTCTTGAGAAGAACAGTTTCTCTGCTGCCGTCTGAGCTATACCAAAGCTCACAGCAAATGCTCACTCTCTCCCTATCTATCCCACTGCTCTGCAACACCAGACACTGGTGAGTGGCAACACTATACTCTGACAAGACTGCAGTGATCTCAGACAGCAGGACGAACCATGACGCCGCGCGCCTCACGACATACTGCGGCCAGCTCGCGCGCCCCCCGGCCGGCCGGCGCCGCCGGAGCCCGAGCTCTGGCGGCCGGGGGCATCTCTCGCCCTCGGCGCGGCGTCGCCACCGGACCCGTCCTGCTGCGCCGCGTATCTGCCGGCCGGTGCCCCGATCTCGCCCGCAGCGGCTCGCTGAAGCGCAGGGTCCGACGTCCGACACCTCACAGCCGACCGAGAGCGGCACGGCCGCACACACTCGGCGGCTCCGGCGAGACGTCCGTGAGTACGTCTCAGCCGGTGCTCATATGCATGCTGTATGTTCGTGATTCCGCTGGCGGCGTAACACACACGTCACTCTAACCTGGCCACACCCGGTAGACATTGCACGCCTGACCGGGCAGGTGGTGCTCCTCACCACCGAGCGCGGCCGCTCACGCCCACACCCGTCACGCCTGCCGCGGCCGGCGGCCGAGGAGTGCCCAGGCAGCTCAGTAGGTCCGGTGGAGCGAGTGGGCCGACGCGTAGCCGCCCCGCTCCAGCACAATGTCGGCCGCCCTCAGCAGCGGCGAGTCCGGCGAGGCGAGCGGGGAGCGCTCCAGGTGCTGGCCGTTGCGGCGGATCCGGTCCGCCGCCTCCATCACCACGGACGTCGCCAGCGCCATCTGCCGGGCGGCGGCGGGCAGTCGGTGACGGGTACTCCGCTGGACGCAACAGCGGAATTGGGGACGCAGGGACATTGTTAAAAGCAAAGATTTACGAGGGAATACAAGACCAAGGAACACGGTCACGGGCCCCAAACCTCAGCGCTGCTTGAAGATAGTATCTCGCCACAAGGTAAAAAATGGGAAGCACGCTACCAACAGGTGACCTAAAACCACGATCACCAAAATTCGGATTGACCTTTAAGGGGACTCCAAAGAGGGGCCAACACCTAAATCGACTCGCGCTAGGCCGCTGACCAGTCCGATAAAGCCACGACAAAGGCGATTAGAGAGAAGTCTTCACGAAACAAGCTATCTTGATAGGTCAAAACTGAGAAAAATACATGTGCACAAATAACGGCAGCAGGACTGAATGAGAGCTCTCGTATGCGTAAATATAGGGCCCGCTCGTCACTGGCGTCCTCCTGGAGACGTCCACGCCCCAGTAGGCGGATCGCACCGTAACCGCACATCCCTCGACTCGTCACTGTGCATATGGTGCGGGTTTGTCTACCACCAGACTCTTTCGGTACCCAACTGCCAGAAGTGTGTCAGTCCACCTGGCACCAATGTTTCTCTGAGCTCGTCACTGCCTGCGCTGGTTATCAGTACCTCCCCACCCCTGCCCTGACTCAACTGCGAGGACTGAGTCAGTTCACCAAACGCCGTCTTCCTGGCCCCGACCCTGTCAGGACCAAGCCGCCAGAGCCGCCTTTCGATCCCGACCTCGTCAGAACCAGGAACTGCCTTCCCATCCTGACCTTGGCAAGACCACCCCACCAGAGCCGCCTTCCCATTCTGACCCTGTCAGGACCACGCCCCCGCGACCGTGCCTCCCTGACCCCAACCCTGTCAGGACCACGTCACGTCGTTGCGCGTGCCGCCTGCGCCTCCCTCGGCGAGCCCCTGCCGCGGCCTCCGCGCGGCTCGGCGGCGGGGCACAATCCAGGGCCGGCGCACCCGTCCCCGGGCCGGCCCGCGCCTGCGGGCTTGTCGCCCCGGGCTGTTTACGGGGACACGGCCAGTATACGACCATCAGCCGGCCGTAAAGATCAGAACCGAGCGTTGCAGAGGCGGGGTTTGATTAATGCGGCTTTTAAAGATGCCCTCACAGCTGGAACCATGCGTTCAGCGTCTGCAGGAAGATAAATGGGTGTGCTAAATCCGAAAGGCGAGCTGCCGGCCGCGGATCCGGGCCTGAGTCAGCGGCGGCGCACCGCACGGGCACGCAGCGGCCCTCCCACCGCGCAGGACCAATACGTGCCGGCACGGACATGGCATTACGACAGATCGCGCGGCGCCAGCCAGCAACCGCAGCGCAGTCGGAGCACGAACTAACTCACAGCTGTGAAGTAGACATTGGGAAACGGCTGGAACATGGCATAAGCCTGCGCCATGCTCATAGTTTGAGACGCATTTCCAGCCCAGGCCGACACAGAAACGAACAACAGTGTAGCGAGAGCACCCGACGTCAGCATAATGACGATCCTAAAAACAACATGAACATGCCTTCTCCAAAGCCGATCACACCACAAACGTTATGATCTCAATTAGATCGCACGTTATGGCAACACCGCACCAATACCATATCAGCCACAAACGTACAGCCGAATGGCTCATATGCTGCTGTAAGCACTCCATTCTTCACTTTCCCTTAGTACCGATCATCCACTCTGATGCACCACACGAAACATCAGGGTGACCGGTCGTCCCTGAGTGGATCTGGAGCCTACTCTCCCCCCCCCCCCCCCCCCCCTCCTGGGTGTCGTTCTGAGCACAGGCGCTTTGTTAGTCGTGCCGAGTGAGCGCGCAATGATGCTAAGGACCGACGCTGGTATTGCTTAGTTCCCAGAGGTATTGATCATACGCTCTTCTCGGTGGGAACACAACGCAATTGTACAAAACCCATCCTCGTGATTTTGTGAGCTACCTTCCCCAATGCTGGTCCGCAGTTCTCTGCGGGCGCCACCCCACGTCCGCCCGACTGGGCCGCCGGCTGGCCGGGCCACCCACCTCGGTCTCGGCGTCACGCAGACCGATGCAGTAGCTGCGCGAGGCTCGCGCCAGCACGGCCGTCATGGCGTACAGCTGACCGACGCTGTCGGCCAGCCAGGCCAGCGCCGGCTGCTGGTTCATCAGGTCGGCGCCGAACCGCTCCAGCGCCTCCAGGCACGAGTCGGCGAACAAGTGCGAGCACTCCTCCAGCTCGTCCGCTTGCAGCTGTGGCGACCGATCGTCAGGAAGAACGAGGGGGTGGGACGAACGCCACGCCGCTGGTCAGACAGCGCCGCAGCACTGCCGGTTTACATTCGGATGCACTCGCAGCAGATCCACCGCGCAGGTGGCTATTCACTCGTCCCGCAGCACTGCACGGCCTCTGTACCGCACGGCGTCAGTGCCGGCGTCAGCAACCGCCAGTCGACGGATGAACAGGCGCGGACGAGCGAGCATCGACTGGCACACGACACGGGAATGATGATGCGGTGGCACAAGGCACGCTTGTCCACACGTGCACACGCACCTTGAGGCTGGGGTGGAGGCAAGCGTACAGGTGGAGCGGGTGGTGGGGACTCCTGTGACGCCCTCGCATAGAGCCCACCAGTTGCTTCAGCACGTGGACAGGAAACAGCATCGGGTTCCGCATCTTCGTCACCTCATCCGCGTACGCGGGGGTGATGTGCTCCAGACCTGTAAGAAAAGCATGCTTTGCAAACGGAATATGCAAGGGGAAATATGCAATGCTTTGCCATGCTCCAACCCAACATTCCTTCCTCTGCACCGAAAGTGACGCGATGTAATTGCCCGAGCACGGGAGACCTGTTACATAAATGCGGTGCTCGCAATAACGCGCAGGTCAGCCCAGCACAGATGTGAACGAACTTATAAACTTCCCGCCGATGGAAAAGTCACTGCTGCCCAAACCGCCTGTGACGAATCGAAAACCATTCGGAGAAAGCGCCGCCGGTCCCTCCGACCGCAGCAGCTTCTACGAATGCGGCTAGGTGACCGGAGCGCGCTGTTGCCGACCGGACCGGCGCAGGCTCGGGCCGGCAGCCGGCGGCCCGTACCTCCGAGGGCGATGAAGAGCCGGAGCAGCTCGTTAGAGCCGGTGTAGCGGAGAGCAGCCCGCGTCTCCCGGAGGTACCGCTCGGCCGTGTCTCCCGTCTCCTCCCGCCTGGGCACAGGGCAGGCGCTACGGTATCACGCGCCGCAAGCCTCCGCTCGGGGCCAGCAGGCCGTCACTAGCGCTGCGTTTAGGACAGCCCACTCGCCAACTGCAACACGCCTCCGACAGATACTACAGAACACTCTTATGCACATCATCTGTATGCAAACGGTGTGAACATTGTGTACATACTAACACACAAGGTAATGGCGATAGGATGTTCCATCTGTTGTACTTATATCCCGTCTCAATCACTTCGCAGAAAAGTTTATGGACACTAACACCAAAAATAAAATTGTCACATAACTGCTCAGCCCGTGCCACGTTCCTGCTTCCACCGAAGCACGGAGTGTACGGGCAAGGTAGCCGGCGGCTTGAACGCGAGGAGTAGGGAAATGTGTCGCGCAGGGGCGGGGAAGCGCAGCCCCGAGGGGTGGCGCGTCGGTAAGAGCGGAGTCCGCGCCGGCTCTGACCGGTAGTAGCCCTTGTCGCCGAGCAGTCGCAGGCAGCGGTCCACCACGCGCTGGGCCAGCTCCGAGCCGGTCACCTTGCACACGGCCGCCTCCAGCATGTAGTCCGGACTCTCGGTCAGGTCTAACGGAGCGGGGACGGGCGGTCAGCAGGGCCCGCTGGGTCAGCCAGGCTCGCTGGGTCAGCAAGGCCCGCTGGGTCAGCCAGGCCCACTGGGTCAGCAAGGCCCGCTGGGTCGGGAGGGACCGCTGGGCCAGCAGGGACTATTGGATCAACAGAGACCTCTGGGTCAGCATTTACCGCTGGGTCAGCAGTTATTGCTGGGGCAGCAGGGCCTGTTGGTTCAGCGGGGGTGGTGGGTCAGCAAAGTTGGTGGCTCGGCGGGGGCGCCGGCTCCGCAGGGGGTGGAGGGTCAGCAGGAAATGGGGCCAGCGGGGGGGGGGGGGGGGGCGGTCAGCAGGGTTGTTGGATCGGCACGGGTTGGAGGGTCTGCAGGGGATGGAGGTCCACAGGGCTACAAGGTCACCAGGCTGATTCGGATCTAATCGAAACCGTGGGAGCCAGAGGGTGCGTCACGTGGGCAAGCCAGGTCAGACCTAAACGGACGACACACGCCCGGTATCCCAGGTCCGCTAAGCATTGAGCGAGGCAGTGGGGCCGTCACAGACTTGGAACTTATACGTCGGGAGCAGGCGCGGTCAAAAGATCGCAGCGTAGTGTCAGCACGGATGGAACGCGCACCACAGGGTCAAGCATAACCCAGGTCAGGAACTGACCCACATGAGTTGGATCGACATGGTATGCAGCGCCATCTGCAAACACCCGTGTCCCGGGCCGCAAAAAGCGATGGGATGCCAGGGCTAATAAAGCATGGTCTATCGCCATCCGCAGATTACTGACAATAAAACACGAGAATGCGCCACCGACATGTAGCTGATAAACAATGGGACAACGCTCACTGTTGGCACACTGAACAGAAATGTTACAACAATGTATCTTTCCTTACTACGATTTCAGAAACTCGTGGATTTAGGCAAAGACTGGACCACGTAACACCAATGAGCAGCAGTAGGTTGAGCGCCGAAGGCCAGACCGGCCACCAGCGGTACACCGACGACCGCGCGGCCGAGCCCTACCGAAGATTCCCGCCGTGACGTAAGTGAGGCTCTCCATGAGATAGAGGTCGCGGTTGACGGCGGCCAGTGCCACCTTGGTCAGGCCGAAGTCGGCCAGGTGGCGGCCAAACGCCGGCCGGTGCAGGCAGTGCTCGGTGGTCAGAGCCACCAGCGACCGCAGCGAGCCTGCCAGGACACCGTCGACAGCGCTAGTCTCACTTCGGCAGCCGCTGCTTGCCGCGGCACACCGAATAGACAACGACCAACTCATACCAAATGTGTACTGAACCGCTGACCTCACTGTGCACAAGCAGAACTGCAAGTTGAGACACGAGACAACCAATACACCTGAGTCTATAATTTGCACACATTTGTATGCTTCTTCAGCACCATGGATTTCTACAGACCTGCTTCCCGTCCATCAAACAAGCGCATCACTGCTGTCAGTACACAAAGCCTGCCGGGCGGCGACATGCCCCCGCACGACAGGCGCTGCATGAGACGAGCGCGCGCTGCCGCCGCCCGCCGCACACACTCACCGACTAGCTGGGCGGGGTAGAGGGTGCGCACGTGGCTGAGCACGGGCAGCAGCACGGCGTGGCCGGAGCCTACCTCGCCGAGGATGTTCTCGCGCGGCACGGGCGTGTCGCGGAACTCCAACTGGTGGCAACACGGGGAAGTCAAGAAACGGCAGGTGCAATTGACTCGTTCCTTGATCTCACCGGCCTGCGACATCAGCAACAAGGAGCCAAACCAAGCTGACAGATGACAAAACAAGTGAAAGTAGCGCTAAAACATGGGCTCCTGTGTGCAAGTCGGGCGCAGCAGTGGATTCGTTTGCATCTAACCTTCTTTGTGGTTAATACATGATTTCGATCGCCGGAGGCATATCACCTTGGAATCAATCGCAGCGCAGGAAAATACAATATCTACAGATTACTTTGCCCGTGGACATTTCAACCTACTGCTTCGACGGAACTGATACGTGAGCACAAAACGCAGTCGCTTATCCCCGAGCTACTCAGAGCCAGATCCCACCTAGATGCCATTGATACAGCTACAGTGTACTAGCTACTCAGAGGCAGATCCCACCTAGATGCCATCGATACAGCCACAGTGTACGAGCTACTCAGAGGCAGATCCCACCTAGATGCTATCGATACAGCCACAGTGTACGAGCTACTCAGAGGCAGATCCCACCTAGATGCTATCGATACGACAACAGCGTATGCTACAACTGCACAGTCAGTAGCCCCTCATAATGTCTACCTAGAAGGGATGAGACGGTTTCTGAGCAGCAGCCGCCCGAACGCTCCTCAAATACAACACAGGTTGGTGAAGGCATTTATCACCTAGCACAACACTAGTCGTCTATTCATCATCTAGCACATTACGCATCACCACGCAAAAATGTCCAGTGCAGCATTGTCTTATCCTGGGCAGCAAAAAGCTGAGCACAGGGGCCCCGCAGTGCGAGGTTCGCATTCGCGGACAGGCGCGCGAACCCGTACTCACAGTCGCAAAGGTCGGCGCCCAGGCCCGGGTCGCACGTGCTGTACGTGATCCCGCCGGCGTCCTTCTCCACAATCATGGCCGACAGGTGCTGCATCTGGTTACCCAGATGGTCGTAATCCTGGTCACAGGGACAAGCATGTGGTCCGCGGAGTGGTGGGATGGAACATGCACCGGAGGCATGGGTCCAGAATGGTGGTTTTGATCATTTGGTGGATTCAAACAAAATGCTATGCCCCATGTGCCATTGAGATGCTGTACAGTAATGCAGAATCCCTCCTCAGTCAAAGGTGATGCATACAAAACCATGTTGGGGAAAGGCCACTAACCCATGGTGACACTCGATTTCTGCTCTGGATCTCACCACACAAACAGCTGCCAACTCCAATACACAGCTCCCATGCTGCCAGCATTGTGCCACCCCAGCAGATCCCCCAACCATTTCTCTGAGCTCTCTAAGCAGTGACCGCAGCCTCCCAGAGCAGCCTCAGCATCAGAGCCTCCCCTGCTCGGTGGGGGCGCCGCATGCAGCCTCACCTGGGCATTGGTGATGACCAGCAGGAGGTCGGCGGCTCGGCCACGCGACACGCCCACCTTGCGGCCGTTCAGCAGCAGAGGGCCAGCCTCACCGTCGTCACGCGCTATGCAGCGCAGGCCTGCCAGGTCGGAGGAGGCGGCCGGCTCGGCACAGCAGAAAGCAGCCGTCAGTTCGCCGCGTGCCAGCCGCGGCAGGAAGCGCGCCTTCTGCTCGGCTGAGCCGGCCTTTAACAGTGCCTGCAGACAGTGCAGGAGTTTAGTTACAGTGGACCAGGTGCATAACCCAGGAATGTACTGCTAGATTGGACAGCATGGTTGGCATGCTTCACAGCTTTTATGATATGTAAGCACAGCACAACAGTGTGCAACTTCTGCCCCAGTGGCCAAACATCACATTTCACTAGAGTTCCCACCCAAGCTGTGTCTACCTGCCTTGAATTTCACACTCAAAACATTTTTTCATATTCAGGTGTGCAGTGCAATTAAAGGTGACTGTAGTCAGCAGACACTTGAACAGGAACATAAGGTCACTCTGCTGCTGACATAAACAAGCAAATAGCCAAAATATACACAGTTATAGAGAATCATGATGAAGTTCACAAAACCATAGAGCTATCACCTGTACAAGAAAATTATGGGCCAGCACAGTCTGAAAATGGCTGCTGGCTGAGACCGCTTCAAGCACTCTTGCTGCTTCAGTCATGGTGTACCCAAGACCACCATACTCATCAGGCACCTCCAGCCCAAAAACACCACCAAGCTGAAGTGTGTCCAATGTTGGATCAGCATGGAATGTCTCTGAAAATAAACGTTGTTAGCTTTCGGCTTATCAGGATGCCCTAATATCCAATAATGTGACACAGATTTGGGTTTGGGCATATGCTACATGGCAATGCATGCCTTCCCTAAATGCTCAAAACCTTGCCAATGGCCAGTATATTGAATGGGGTCATCCAAGTGCTGTTAATGCACTCCATCATATCAATAGTTCTAAAACTGTTCTACCTTTTTGCTTCATATACTGTGTTGAGGTGTTTATCAAGATGCCCTATTTGATGGATAAAGTATGGGTACATCATTGATGCATGCCAAAATTGCACCTGCCAAACCACATGTAATAATTTTAAAGTAATCAGTAAATCAAGTAAGTGGTTGTGGTTAATAGGCAAGTGATTACATGAATACTGGTGGGAAGCAGAACCAACACTCACCATTCCTGTAGCCTAAAGAAACAAGCCTCTCATCCAAAGCATCTACTTGCTCCTTATTCAAAACTTCAGGAAATGATAGCATTTCTTGATCAAAATTTGCCTTGAAAAGTTCCTTCAGAAATGGCTCACGCTTCACTTTAGCAATATCTAGAACGATGTGACCCTTCTCCTGTTTCCTGTCAACGAGATCACGCTCTGGCAAATCCCAAGCCTTCTTGTTTAATGAAGTAGATGCGCATGAGAGAAGTCTCTGGCTTATTCGCAAGCATTTCTTGCTTTTCGAAGCATGGCTTGAACTTATGAACTGTAAAGCACGTCTGGCATACATCCTGTCAATTAGATGAAATGCTGTATTGCAATGTAGTGTTGGGTCCTATAAACACTCGTATGCCCTAAGCACCGCAGAACCCATGCAACACCGCGCTACGGCGACGGTGCCGGCTCTGGAAAGGTGCGTTAGTTACGAACCCAAAGCGCATGTTATGTCGAGGAAATGTAAGTAATCCATAGCTGTTCATGCTGTTAATGCCAAAACTTAGTAATTAATGTAACAACTTTGTATACAAACACCGGGAATCGGTAGAAATTGTCCTACTTTTGACAATGGCTTAGATTTTTGTACGTAGCAGATCAGATAAAACCAAAAAATAATTTAGAGAAATTCAGAACTCAAACACCGTTCATACAAAATAGGCAGTGCGTACACACCGTCCAAAACGGAGGGGCGGTTACACACTGGGCTTATGCACCCTCCAAAACGGAGGGCGGCTACGCACCGGACTTATACACGGTCTAAAAATCTTTCAGATGGTTGTACGTGCCAAGCGTACGCGGATTGGCAGCCTTGAAGGGAAGAAAGTGCAAAGATGCGGAATTCCGTGCGAAAAGTCGGTTCTATGCGTGATGGACATCAAACGATCACGAAATCCGTCAACTCGCTCTGACCATTTCTATTCTTATCACGAATTTTTGGCTCCCGGGCCCGCATTTCAGTGGATGGATGGCTAGCGTACTGGTCTCACGCACGGTAAGCCTGGGTTCGAATCTCGACGACGGCCTCTGTTAAGTGGGTGGCTTCATGGTCTATGGGCGCGGCATGATGATGCCAACTAGCTTCACTTCTAAGCGGAATGAATTCTCAATAGGGATTTTCATATTGGGCAGCACCGTAGTTCCTAATGCTAGGGGAGGGGTACAGAGATATTGAGGACCCGTGAAGGTTGACCGTAAATCTAAATAGATATGACACACCGAATAGCCAGTGGAAATGACGCATACGACGGCGCAGACATGTAGAATTACGTTCAGCAATTGCGCATAAAAATTCGTCGGCGCGTATTCGACTGCTGCTCAAAGGCGAAGGCACCAAGGCCAATAGGGACGGAACCTGAGCGGTCATGGGCGCCGCAGGAGACCATCACAGTGGCTCCTGTCAACAAGTATAGGGTCCTCAGAGCAAGCAAAAAGAACTCACGTGGTGGGCCAACGTGGTGGGTTCCTTAACGATCGGTAGTACCTCGACAGGCTGACCTATGAAGCCCGGTCATAGTACAGGACCCCCCGCGCAAAGCGGAATTATTCAAGACTATAAATTAATACCCCTGTACAACCAAGAGCGCCCGGGTAGGTTAACAACACGAGTCTCGATAGGAGGGAAAAGTCAGCCGCAAGTGAGACCAAAGAGAGAGAGATAGAGAGAGAGAGAGAGAGAGAGAGAGAGTCCTCGATCAAAATTGAGGGCCCCTGAGCACCGAGCGTCTCCATGCCTTACCTTATAAGATTCCTAGCAACGGCACAAGGCCCTTCAAGCAAGCAGAAAGTACCTGAGATTTAGATAAAGGGCTCCTGAGCAACTGAGTGTACTCTGGCATATGCGGCCCTGGAAAAAGTGTATGTAGCCTTTCGGGCGAATGGGAAGAATCCGTGGAGGAAAACCCGATTGATCAATAGTGCTCAGACATGGAGGCAGATAGCGTCCTAATAGCGCATTAGGCCATTCGAAAAAATGGGAAGATATCAAGGGTAACGTGGAAAGCTCCTTAGCGATCAGATTGACGCAGCAAGTGGGCACATAGGGACAGGCAGCCAACAGCGTAATGCCTCTAGACGGCGTAATGAGCACTAAAATTTCCCCCAAGCAACAGTCTCTCAATCAGCGAAGAATGAACTTCGTTTACTTATGAACTCTTCACTTTTGCTAGTCATGGTCCTTGGTCATCTGTGGCCCAAATGCATCCAATTTTGTTGGGTTTTTGTTGTAAGGAAACTGCGTCCGTCCGGCCGGTTATGGGCCCCTTTGGAGCCTTAAGGTTCCCTCGGCATGGTCCATGGGACATGGTCCTCTTCCCCCCCCCCCTCCCACCCTCTGCATCCGCCACCGGCCCCGAGCAGCTGAATAAATGGGGCCCGCTAAGAGCATAGGGTCATCCATTCAAATAAGAAATAGTCATGACGCAATGTGTAGGGCTCTGAACGATCGAGTGCGCCAGAACGGACTGACATATAAGGCCCCCGTCAAGAGCTTAGGGTCCTCCATTCAAATAGGAAGCACTCAAGACCCAATGTAGAGGGCCCCTGAATGATCGAGTGTGCCCGAGCAGTTCAACAGATAAGGCTCCCAAAAAGAGCGTAGTACCCTCCATTCAAATCGGAAATATTCAAGACCCAGTGCAGAGGACCCTCGAATGATCCAGTGTATCGGAGTAAGTAAACATAAAGGGCGCGGTCAAAAGCGTAGGGCCCTCCATTTAAATAGGAAACACCCAAGACCCAATGTAGAGGGCTTCTGAATGATCGAGTGTGCCCGAGCAGGTTAACAAATAGGACTCCCAGCAAGAGCGTATTGCTCTTGTTGGGAGTGCATTCGAATGGTAAGCACTGAAGATCCTAAGTAAATGCCCCCAGAACGACGTAATGTGCCCGAGTAACGTATCAAAAGGAGCCCGACAAGAGCGCAAGGTCCTTCATTCAAATAAGAAGTGCTTAAAACCCTGTGCGGAGAGCCCCTAAAAGATGGAGTATACCCGAGCAGATTATCGGGTCACCCAGACAGGAGTGTAGGGACCTAAATACAAACACCAAGACCCAATATATAGGGCCTCCGAACAATCTAATGTGCCCGAAGCGGCGAACAGATGGGGTCCCCGACAAGTGCGTAGGTCCCTTCATTCAGATAGGAAGTACCCAAGACACAATGTGGAGGGCCCCCGAATATTCAAGTGTGCCCGAGCAAGTTAGCAGATGGGGCTCCGGCAAGAGCGTAGAGCCTTCCGTTCAAATATGAATTACGCGCGGCACGATGTAGGAGGCCCTGAATAACCGGGTTAGCAGATAGGGCCCCCGAAAAGAGCGGAGGACACTCCACTAGAAAAGGAAGTACCCCAAACCAGATGTAGAGGTCCCCCACGATCGAATGGGCTCGAGCATCTTATCAGATCGGGGCCCCGACAGGAGTTTACGGACCTCCATTCAAATAAGAAGTATCTAAAATCCCATGCGGAAGGCCCCAGAAGATACATAACCCGAAAAGGTTATCAGATGACCCCGATACGGGCAGAATGTCCTAAATTCAAACACTGGAAATCAACGTACAGGGCCCACCAGTAATCCAGTGTGGCCGAGGAGGCGAACAGAGGGGGCCCCCGACAAGTGCGTAGGGCCTCATTTGAATAGCACGTGCATAAGTCCCAATATAGAGGGCTCCGGAACGATCGAATGTGCCCGAGTAGGCTATCAGATAGCCCCCGTCCCCGTTTTGGAGGGTGTATAAAGCCCGGTGCGTAACCACTTTCCATTTCGGAGGGTGTACACGCGCAGCCTAAAATATAATCGTGGCCGAGCGTGAAGGCTGCAGCACATTGAATCTAAAGGCAAGGAAAACAAGTGAGAGAGAGAGAGAGAGAGAGAGAGAGAGAGAGAGAGAGAGAGAGAGAGAGAGAGAGAGAGAGAGAGAGAGAGAGAGAGAGAGGAGAGGATAGAGAGAGAGAGAGAGAGAGAGAGAGAGAGAGGAGAGAGAGAGAGAGATAGAGAGAGAGAGAGAGAGAGAGAGAGAGAGAGAGAGAGAGAGAGAGAGAGAGAGAGAGAGAGAGAGAGAGAGAGAGAGAGAGAGAGAGCTGCATGCTTGGGGAGAGGAGTAAAGAGAGGAGATAACGAGTGGTTTTTGATCATCGTTTTTGTGATCATTTTGTTATTACAAAGCGTTGCAGGCAAGAAAAAGAGGTTGCTTGGCTGCAATATGTGTATTCAAAGTCAACAGCGTTCGTTACAATATTGCAAATCGGAAGCGTTGTTCAGGTCTAGCCATTCTTTTGTAGTGCGTTCTGCAACCGACAATCACCACTTCTTTCCCCTGAGTCGAACTAGTCACGGTCCGTGGACAGGTCCGGCCCGACTTCGTCACGAGTTGGCAAACGACGCTGACCGGCAGGTGGCTTGGGGCTCGGTCCTGCATGAGGCAGTCATCTGCAGACGCCCACATTGTTCAGCGCGGACTCAGCTTGCGACTGCGCGCTCTCGAGGTCAGGCTACAGCTTCAGACCGCCGAAGCAGATGTACTTCGTCTCCATGAAGTCGTCCAGGCCCTGCTGACCGCCCTCCTTTCCGAAACCGGAATGTTTGAATCCACCGAAAGGCGCCTCGCAGGTTGAAATGAGCGCCTCGTTTACACCGACGAGCCCATAGTCCAGCGCCATTGCCACGCGCCACGATTGCTGGTAGTCGCTGGTGTAAAAGTAGCCTGGAAATAGATGAAGCATTTGCCGTAAGCATAAGCAGCTGCCTAGAACCAATCAATAATCAGGTTCGATGGTCAGGTTCGATGGATGGTGGTGAAGTTAGCATGTATTGTTCTTGCGCGATATTGACTAGGACGTGGGTGCAAGACTTTGGCTGCTATTTTTTTCTGGTAGCTATTGGCGACTACCGAAGCAGACAGCCTGTGATAATCCAGGTCTGCGATCTGATAAAGTGGCTGTACGAACACATTGAAATCATCAAAATTGCTGCACGTCGCGTCCTTTTCACATGCAGCCCTTCCAAAAAGGACCGTTCGAAGTTAACGCAAACCTCCCGAAGTCAATTTCCAAAGAAGACAATATTTTCAGCGGCATTCCCGCACTGTCTCAGCCATCGTGCATCCGGCGAACGTCAGCGTGCCAGTGTAACGCACTGTGAATGACCACCAGACACGGGCTCTGGTTCGGCCTGCGGCCGGCGTGCGCGCGGTACCGTCCGCAAGCGCCCACCGCACCTACCTGCCAGGCCCATGTTGGTGTCGTTGGCCATCTGGATCACCTCTTCCTCAGTGCTGAACTTGTACACGGCCACCACCGGGCCGAAGATCTCCTCAGTGTAGAGACGCATCTGGCGACTGACGCTTGTCAGCAGCGTCGGCTCGTAGAAGAGGCCACCTTGCGGCGGCTGGCGGCCGCCCATCACCACCTGCGCGCCGTGCGCCATAGCGTCCGCCACCAGCGCCTGGACCTGGCGGCAGAGCGGCCGCACGGCCCGGCGTCAGCGGCCTCGCGCAGCCGTCACGTCAGAGCGGCGCGGCAGGCGGGCACGGCGGGAGACGTCCACACGAGGGAGAGCTCCAAGACTGGCTGACTCTGTACGTACTTTCTCCAGCTGCCGCTTGTTGATCAGCGGACCCTGGTTGTTGCCGGCCACCATGCCGTCTCCCACCTGGAGAGTTTTCTTCATGCCTTCCGCCAGTGCCTCGACAAACCTGGGATGCAGATTTCCCGTGTCGGCATGGCCGTTCAAGCCAAACGGAGGTTTAGCAGCACAATAACAGGTCGCTCGTGTATATACACGCAGCGTACGAGCGTACGCAAATGATTTGTTCCTTTCTCCTTGCATCTCAACGTACCAGGGTGCATCTTGCAGCCTTTACTTTGTTACATACTACTCGTAAGCATAATGAGCTTATTATCAACGCCCTGCCTGATATCAGTCATGCTATAAATATTTTACCTTTCTCCTCAATACACTGTTTGTAGCGCGCCAGAACAACAATCCCACTCAAAGGCTATCCTCCGTTCTCAATGATCACATAAAAATATCCATAGCCCGCTCCTCCAGCTCTCAATCCCCACCACAAATCCTTACCCAGACAGTCCACCTGCGGGAACAATCATCAAACCCCAATCCCTCTCATAAACCGGACCGGCCTGACACCGCGCCGGTGGTCCGCCCGGTGTTCCGGCCGGTGGTCCGGCCCCTGAGCGACGGCGCAGAGCCAGGTCGTGGCGTCCCACCGACCTGTCATAGATGCCGGCCTGCACGAACAGCCGGTTGGTGGAGACGCACGTCTGGCCCGTGTTGCGGAACTTGGCGGCCAGCGCGCCACGCACGGTCAGCTCCAGCGGCGCCGAGTCGAACACGACGAACGGCGCGTTGCCGCCCAGCTCCAGGTGAATGCGTTTGACGGCATCGGCGCAGTCGCGGTACAGCAGGCGGCCGACGGCCGTCGAGCCGGTGAAGCTGAGCAGGCGCACCAGCGGCTCGGCGCACAGCAGGCGGCCCAGCTCGGCGACGCGGCCGCGCGAGCAGGGCACCACGTTGACGAGGCCACGCGGCAGGCCGGCGCGCTCGCAGACGGCGGCGAACGCGAGCGCCGTCAGCGGCGTGTCCTCGGCCGGCTTGATCACCACCGAGCAGCCGGCCGCCAGCGCCGCCGCCGTCTTGCGCGCCAGCATCCCGATCGGGAAGTTCCACTGGTGGTGGGCCGGCGGCGCGGTTAGAAGCGACCGGGGAGGGTGGGGACTCTGGTGGGAAGACCAAGCATTTGGAGAGACACCGGGATGACACCCGATACTGAAACTTGTGCCAAGTGTGCCGTAGGCCCTGCCTGTTCTACTCTCTTCGCTAGGTGCAGATGGACAATGGAGGTTCATGGTTTTGAATTAGTGGCAGCACAAAAAGTTGAGTTTGCGTTACAAATGCATCTTGCTTAGTGACATGGTCATTTACATAAAACACGTGAGAACATTTGAACAAACAAGAGCTCACGGGTCCAAACAAATTGGTCAGGCCACACATGCCTTGCCAAGAGAAACGTAACTGAAGCTTGATCAACAAGTCCCAGGAGCACTCTAGGAATAGCTGAAAGTGCAGACTGCGTTAGCGTGTTCTGACCGACAGTGTTAGCCGAGACAGCCGGTACAGGTGAGGTTCACCGACCGGCAGTGACACCGAGGCCGCAGGCTGAGCCGGGGTCACTGACCGGGGTGATGATGGCCGCGACGCCGCACGGCTGCTTGACGGTGACCAGCTGCCGGTCGCCGGCCGGCGGCGGGATGTGCTGGCCGTAGGCGCGGCGGCATTCGGCCCCGAACCAGTCGAAGAAGCTGGCGGCGAAGCCGACCTCTCCCTCGGCCTCGGCCAGCGGCTTTCCCTGCCGGACACACGACCCGCTCTGAAGTACCGCAGATACCCGCGGGCCTTAGACATGGTGACTCCGCGCACGGTCACCTCCCAGACCCCGGGCAGGTGGTGACCCCGGGGTCTGGGAGGGCAGTCACCCGACCGGGCCACATGGTCGTGGTTTACCCCGGATGTGTTGGCCACACGGCACCCTCCGATACCTTCGCCCATCTCCACGACGCCCACAGCCCACAAACAGTCCGTCTAAGGACTCGCTAAACAGCAGAACTTGTCATCATCCACACCGCCGTAAACATGTGAAGGGTGCGTGCATGGCGCGACCACGACTGTAACCAGGCATGGGAGCTTCACCATTTAACACGCCTAGAGCTACGCAAATCACACATAGCTCATCGCTTACTCGGCATGGAGTTCGTATGCGTTGTCTACCTGGCACCACATTGCCATCAATGTTGCAATTAATCAGAATGTGTGTTTAAGCCAGCACCCCGCACAAAGATATTATGTCACGGGACTCTACCCATGGGGTGGAGCCATGTATGCCTTTGACGGAGCCATGCTCACATGTGTCCCATCCCCTCTCCCCACCACCCAATGAAAATCCAATATCAATGTCAAAGACCCTGCGGCTCTTCTCCCCCACAGATATGGATTTCATGCTCCATAATGTTGTTTTCCGAACTTGGGCCCTTGGTTCCTACACATGTCGCCTGATACCGGCGGCTGATATTTATAACGCGGTACTAGCTGGTACTGATATAACATTGGCTGGTCAGCTCCCACCGTGAAATGCCTTATTTCTGCGGGCACGTACTTACATTTTCCAGGCACAGAATTTCCCCGATTTCTTTCTTGGACTCCAAGAGAAGGTCTCGGATTTTGTGCAGAATGGCCGTCCGCTCCTGCGTGGAGGCCACATGTAATCACGTCCAGGCGCCGCGCCGCAGGAGACGAACGCGCGAGCGCGCGAGCGCCGTCAGCCTTCTTCAGCGCTACGCCTGCGCTGCATAGATATCCAGTAATCCTGATGCGGGGTCATTTGACACAAACTTTCTCCCGCCGTTTTGCGCTCAGGGGAAAAAGTCGGTTCAAGCACCAGTGACAGCAGTAAGTTATGGACGACTAGATTTCTTGAATCGTGCTGCCGGTGACGTTTGTCCTGCGACCTCAGTCGAGAGGGATTGACCGTCGGACGCTTTTTAGATTGACTGTTAGGGGTGACTGTCCAAACACTTCAGATTTAACACAAAATAACGATATGGCGTGGCGGAGAGCTGGGAGTTCAGCAGGTTTGCGGAACATTACAGCACACCAGGACAGATCGGAGCTGACCAGTCATGCCACACGAGAACTGAGCTCAGCGAAGCCGCTGAGAACAGACTGCTGGTCTACGGCTAGACCTCTGTGCGGCGGAAGCGAGAGCCGCTGGTGAACGCCGCACCTTGACCGTAGTTTTCCGGTAGGCTGCGAAGGCGCTGGCGGCCGCCTGGCAGGCGTCCCGCACGTCCTCCGCCGTGGCGTCGCTGACCGCCTGCAGACGGGCGCCATTGGCAGGGTTCACCACTTCAAACGTCGACCCATCAGAGGACTTGCGCCAGTGGCCGTCCACAAACAGCTCCGTCCGAGTCAGAGACATCTGTCGGCAGACAGCGATAAACACCAGCGACAAACACCAGCGGCGCAGAGCACGTGCCATAAGCAACGCGACAACACTGCGCCCGGTTCAAGTAAATGAGTGAGGCAGGTGGAGGTCGGAGAAAATGGCAGTGTGCGATAGAGTGCTTTGACGACATAACGCTAGTGGGCGATATAGCGCTGGTGGTGACAACAGAGAGAGCGCTATCAAAAACAAAGCTGGCTCTGAAAGCGATATCACCGCGCCTGGTTGGCCATAAACATACATTTCATTTGTAACATTTCCGCTACCATGTTCGTCGCTCAGCCCAAAAGCCCAGTGAAGCGGCCAAATCTGGCCAAACGAATTAGATAAGGGGAGGCTAACAAGACCTCGCCGGTACCAGACGGTGGAAATAGTAGCATAATTTGCTTTTGACCTGCTGCTCAGATAATTTATGCTGTATTCAAAACTGGGCTATCCCAGGATGCGGTGTTCGCGGCGGTACCGCTGTTCGTAAAGCGGTTTCAAATGCAGCAAACCGTTCATTGCCACCGATTCAATATTTTGTGAGCCGCACGTTAAAATCGCCCTCGAAGCCTCGAATAGAGCACTTAACAAATGGGCGAATGCTAGTACATTTATTTAGTGCGCACGCACTGAGGAAACCGTAACGAGCTGACAAAGTTTTCCCACGTCCTGAGAAAGCACCTCATAGCGATTGCATAAATGACACACGCATAATACGGCTTTCAGTTTGCTGACACATTCAGCGTGCATCGTCCAGTGGTCTCCAAACACTCGTGAGTTCTGTGCTTTCAACCATCTTTGGAACGGTCCCGTTGTCTCTTTTTAATCAATCGGTCCATATGCACGAGGGCTCAGACCATCCATATATGCGGGAAAGCCTCAAGACGTCAGCACTTTCCAACACAACAATCCTGAACAATTATTATGGAAATACCGTCGCGCACGGTGGATACTTATCTCTGATCGTTCACTATCATTCGGCGCCGTATACGCTTCTTGTAAGGAAATAAGTGTCAAGAAATTCGTGTAGCAATATTTCTTCAAGTAAATTTGATTCGCCGATTTAACACGCGCTTGGGTGGGGTCAATTTGACCCCGAAGGCTTTTCGGAATAATCTTTGAACAGTCCGGCATAGCCGCACCAAATGTTGCATATCTATAGACAATTCAATAGCAGATTGTTTGGAATGAAAAATCAAGATGTACTTTGTAAGGTCGCTGACCTACGGCAGGTCAAAGTCAGGCCTGATGCAATGACTGAGTGTTAGACGAAGACATACATCTCTGAAATAGTTTCCGAGGCAACATAACGATTGAGTTCACAAATTCCATTACCTAGGGCCAGGTATGAAGGTTATACCAAGGTCAAAACCAATCTGCTGTTTATTCTAAAGCTTGCTGCATCGGGTAATTTCTAGGGTTCATTTCGGATTTATCGATAATAGGAGCCGCATTACAAATTTTTCGTCGACTTGTTAAAGGTAAGAATAGGTCACTAAACCAAAATGACCCAGGTCAACATTTTGTTTGTGAAAAAATAGATACCTAGCGTAATCCTTGACACGTCTTTAAATCTCAAATCAAAGCAGTCCTGTATGATTTTGGTCACCATGAGTCCCGCATGGTCAAACAAGGCCACTGACCCTAATTGAGCACCAGTAACCTCTAGCTTAGACAGCTCTCTAGCTTCACGGTGGTTTCATGAGAAGGTCTAGGGCACTTTGAACACCAGTCCACAGTTTGATTTGGTTGATCGTATTTGGCCTGAAGATCATGGCTTAGGAACCTCAAATTTCAACACAAAAGAGTTCACGTACAGGTCAACACGCCCTGCGAATTCGGTGTCCCTAAATCCCCTTTGTTTCCGGCGTTAAACTTCCAGAGAGTGTTTATTCTAATTTCACTCTAAATCATAATCGAACTGCATTGCTTCAGAGATGTGCAGTTTCTTGCCATTTTGTGTAGTTAAATACATGGCGAAAAATACCGCTGTGAGCATCATCAAGTTTATGTGAGTGAAGACAATAGGACCTTCATAAATGAGATAAGCAATCATCAACCTTGGGTCCTAGGTCAATGGAGCTGTCCTTAAATCACGTTACGTATGGCGGTACAAGTTGTTAGTGAAGCATAACCGAAACATGACAAAACAAGAAGCAGAACGTTACGCTCAGGTGTGTTCGCAAGTCGTGCTTATATGTCTTTGAAAATATGTGGTAAAATATCAACGGCGATAAAATATTTTGGAAAATATCAACCGTTGGTTTCCTCTCATGCCAACACAACGTCCCATTCTTTTCCAGGCATCTAGCTCAATTAGGGGCCAAATGGACACCACCTATTTGGGGCGTTAAACTTAATACAGCACACCAAGCGGGGTAGGGTGGGTTTGGAGTTTTGTCTGCGTTAATCAGTGCGTAACCAGGGGAGTGGGCTGAAAATGGCAGGAAATACTCCACGTATTTCATCAGAAAAAGCGAAGTCCGGATGCATCGGCCACGACAAAAACGTCAAAGACTGCCACTGACAGCGTGCCTCGCTATCAATGTTGGCCTCAGATGGAGTATCTGCGAACCAGCGTTCTCCTGGTGACCAACGCCTGGCTCGACTGTTGACCATCCAGCCAGGGTCTACGGCGGCCATCAGTAAGCGTAGCTGTACCACAAGCGATTCGAGCTGCCCGCGATTTGCGAGTGGACGACCATGGAGCTCCGTCCGTGGTTGGTCAGTGGATAAACGGGTCGCTGCCCGAGAGGCCGTTGGCTCGGCGACGGTCGCCTGGCCATGAAACCTGTTGCCAGCCTGAACACCAGGGGCGCAGTCAGGGAAGGCTGTCGGCGGCGGCCCGCCCCCCTCTCCACTGAGCCCGCATTTTGCGCCTAGGCGGCACCACTAGGCGGCCCCTTAGGTTCTCTTTAGATGAGCGTTATCTAAGCCCCACCCCCACCACCTCACAATACTAGGCCAGACGCACATCTGCTCAGTGCGTTTCACATGCCCGCAAAAATAAGGTGTAAGTGAAACCCCACATTGGTCGAAAAGGAGTCATATCGACTCCGGTCTCAGCAGCCCAAACTATGCGGTTCTCCTCCGACTGTATCAGCACATGCCTGCACTTCGGGGGAGCAGCTTGAATGTCTTGCTCATGTTGCTGCCAAGTAAGTTTGTTGACAAAGCCGCACCCAGACAGGGAAAGGGCACGGACAGCGTCCTCCTGTCCAGGGGTGCAGTTTCGCAAATTTGATAGGGAAGAGGAGGGGGGGGGGGGGCTGAAAACTGACAACTGACGTACCGTACCCGCAAAATACTCCAACGAACATATTTCTCTCCGGAATAGAACTACTTTTCTTCTCAAAGTTGGAGGGGCTCGGGTTCCGCGTTGAGGGGAGGGGACTGGAACTTCCTCCAACTGAATGAGGAACTACATTCCTGCTTCCAACTTCAATCTTCGTGGAAGTTTACCATTCACCGTCCATGGTGATGATTGGAAAGAATGGTCAGGAAAATTCTCCTTTACTCCCGTCCTTTCCGACTTTATTTCGACGTTCTCATGGTCTTCTGTTCGGCCAACAAAACATTCCATCCCCTGCATCGGACACCGAAGCGACATCGATGTCCTGGATATAACAGGTATCTGTGCCGCACGCAATTTAGGCAAAATTTAGATTGGATTTAGACTATCTGAATTTGAGAAATCTGTGCTGCACATTTGTGAGCAAATGCCATTATGAAATAAAAATTCCTTGGAAACACTGGATCTCCAAGCATGAAAGCAGTAGCAACTGCGCACCGACGTTGGGGCACGCGGGTTGACGGCGCACCTACGCTGAAATGTTTGGCGCAAGTAGGCCACCACGCCGGACATGATCGGAGTAACATGCATTTTTTGCAGTCTACCATTGAATAATCCAAATAAAGTCCGTGGGCAGAGAAACGCCGCTGAGCGCATAAATCCCTTAACCCGGCCTATTCTCGACTCCCCACGGAATCAGCGTCGGGCAACCCACCGTTGCTGTGGTGAAGGTGGGGAGACGAGAGTTCCTTCGCGGCCCGCTCCCCGCGCCGGCTGCGCTGCTGCGTCTGCCATGGTGGACCGGGACGCACGCGTGGCGGCTGGCGTTGTCCTTGGGCCGCAGGGGCGGAGACGCCGCGGTCAAGGGGTGGGTGGGCCGACGGGGACGGGTCAGCGGTGACGTATCGCCCGGCGCCTGTGGCGCCTGAAGCAACCGTCAGAACCGGTGACCAGGAGGAGGAGATCAGTGAGCGGACCACGAGCGCACGGGATAGGGGAACAGCGGAAGTCTGCCGCGCTATCGCCTGTCTCGTGCGTTCGCCGCGCATGGTTCAAGGTCAACTACCGCGTGGTAACAGGCTGCCGTCGCTCGGCTCACATGGCACGCACGCCTTCACTGGAAGGGAGGGTACGCGCAGGACACTGATAAATGCGTGCACGTATTGCTTACAGACGTGCAGCCCCAGCCCGACAATGCAAGTATACAGTCTTAAGTTGGTCTAATGCCTGTGTCGAGGCCGTTGTTATGCATACCGGTCTTATCAGAAACAAATGTCGCGCAATGCGGGGGTGGATCCAGGATGTCATCAGGGAAAGGACCACGCACCGCCGTGGTGTCGCCCTCCTCCTTTCTAAAGCCCTCGGATTTCACTTCCACTTCAAAAGGTCAGATTCCAATAGAATTGCCAGCCCTCGCTACAGAACTGGAGTAATGCACTCGGATAACGAAGAATATATATCCGGGAATCCGGTCTGCTCGGTGTTGGGCGAGAGCGCGTCCCCCGGCTCTGCCCCTGCTGGGAAGGAGAAAACGCCACCCAGATCCCCAAGGATCGCAAGTCGCCACTCGGCCACCGAGCTTGTCACACAGCTTAGAGAAGTCCTGTAACCCGCCGAGCTGCTCGGAGAGGAGCCTGTTGTTTGGTTATGACCGCGCTGCGCTCGGTCGCCGGCGGTCCGGGCGACAGGGTGACCGTGTCTGGCCGAGGGTGGGCGGTGATTGGGCCAACCCACCTGACCCGTGTATGCGGCCTCCTGATGCTACGCAACACTTCACGTTTAGATGGCCCCTTGCCCGCCCAAGGCCACTTGGCTACAGTTGGCCGTGTCGGCACAGCACCAGGCGCTCGCCGACGCACGGAAACAGGTGGTGGATGCATGCGACCAGTCGGTGGCAGACTTCCGGAACGTTCACAGTCGAGTGCGACGATGCAAGCACCGGCTCGCTCAGGCGACTCTGTACCGCGAAGCGCGTCCTCGTGCAGGACCCAAAGAGAGGTATATTTGGAATCCGTCGGGGAAGGGGCGTCACGGGCGTCGGCAGTCGGTGAGACGGCCTGGTACGCCTGCCCCGCGGGTGCATGTTCTGAAGCAAGCCGTCAGGATTTTCGGCCCCCACGACCGCTCGTGACCGTCCCGCAGAGTGGCGGCAGCAGTCGAAACAGCAGTGACGTCGACCGTCTCGCCAGCGACGACGACCGCATTAACGTTCGCGGCAGCCGCGACAACAGCTGTGGTCACAGTGAATGGGCGATCCGTATGCGTCATGCGGCAGGATATTGCGCACATTGAAATCGCAGCGTGTTCCCAAAACTTCAGGCGACTAAGATCTCGACCACCTTTTCGGTGCTCGTTGCGGGCAGCCGGGGAAGTGACTTCCACTGACGTCATACGGCGGCTCGCGCATAGTGTAAGCGAATTGCTTGGTAATTACCTGGTATATAGGATCTTCGGCGTCGGGTGGTACGAATCGGTGGAGTGGAAGGTGTGAGGTGGGCAGGCATTTGATGCCATTATATGGGATTTGGAGCTAGAGAAAGGTTCTAGAAGCATTCAATTTTTTGTGAATCTGTTGACGCCAATATTGCAAAGATTTTTTGCTAGATGGGTTGATTAATACCGTTTTAGACAGAACGGGCCCACGCCAATTATGCAGTATTCTTCAAGAACTTCCCCCTTTTTAGAAGAAGAAAAATATTCACCGCGAGCGTTTTACGCGCAGTACGAAAAGGGCCTAATCAGCTCGCGTTAGCAGAATTGCCCAACTTTGGTATCATACAACCCGGACGATGTCTTAAGGACCACAAAAAAGAGGAGGCAATCAGCATTATTCATTTAGTCGCTTCGACCATTGCTTCTCACAATGATCGCATGATTGCCTATCATCTTCAAGAAGTTACCATATGACAGTATTATAATTTCGGCAACAAACCAGCAATACGATTTTTAACACGGAGACAGCAGAAGATTTACCACATGTACTAAAAGGGCAACAGAATCAGCAAATCACGGACATACAAGCAACCGTGAAAAGTATCCCAGTTCTTCACATTCGTGTCTCAAATTCTCTGTTGGTGCGCTTGACCTTCCTGCATACCATAACTTTAATCATTTTTATCAAAATATCTGATAACTTACGGCCCATCGCAAGCAGGCCGGAAAGGCGCCTACACTCTTATCTTATTGCACTTCTTGTACTTCCTAAATTATTTCCAGTTGTGAAACTTGAATTGATATTTGCAAATGGACAACACAGACAGAGAGCCAACAACATCGGTTAAACTGAAATACTTCCAGCAATCCTAAAAAACGGACCAAACCACGGGAACCGAACACCGGAGCAAAGCCAACGTTTTCGGTACGGTACATATACGTATATTAGCGCAGTGCACCTCGTACACAAGTCCGGATAATGCGATTCACACTTATTACAGCTAAACACATCGTGCTGACAATGTCCCTTCAGCTACAACACTTAAGTTCAACTAATATGACTACTCCGTTGCCGTGAGATGCTGCCATCATGTCGTGCGGAGGGACTGTATAGGCACCCTCTTAAAGAAGTGCAGCTCTTGTACAATTTCAATGAGCGAGGCAAGAAATCGCTCTGACATCCAGAAAGATACTCTGCCGAGATTATATGCCAACAGCAATCCTAAGAAAGCGCAAGCCCCGGGAACCGAAGACCAAGGTAAGGCCAGCGTTTTCAGTACAGCACATATACGCCTAGTAGTGCAGTGCACCTCATACACGAGTCCGGATAATGCGATTCGCACGTATTAGAAATGAACACATCGTGCTGACAACGTCGGTTGAGCTGCAACACTTCGGTCCGATGGCTACGACTCATGCCCTGTCGTGAGATGCGCCATCCTGTTGTGCGGACGGACTGTAGTAGCACCCTCTTAAAGTAGTGCACCTCTTGCATCAGTTCGATTGGAAGACCTAAAAACCACTCTGACATTCAGAGACATGCTCTACCGAGATCATATGCCAATAGCAATCCTAAGGATACGGACCAAGCCCCGGAAAGCGAAGACTGAAGCAAAGCTAGCGTTTTCGGTACGTATACATACGCGTCTTTATATGTATATGTCTTCATATACGTTTCGGCACATATACGTCTATAAGCGCAGTGCACCTCACACAAGAGTCCGATTAATGCGATTCACCCTTATTAGAAATAAACACATCGTGCTGACAATGTCGGTTGAGCTGCAAGGCTTCGAACCGATGAATAAGACTCATGCATTGCCGTGAGATGCTGTCATCATATGCGGACAGACTGTAGTAGCACCCTCTTAAAGTAGTACACCTTCTGTATAATTCCGATTGGCGAGCCCTAAAAACCGCTCTGACATGCAAAGACATACCCTGCCGAGGTAAGGTGCCGACAGGAACCCCAAGGGAAGAAGCCAAGCCCCGGGAACCGAAGACCGAAGCAAAGGCAACGCTTTCGGTACGGTACATATATGTTTATTGGTGCGGGGCACGGGAAACAAGAATCATTATAATGCGATTTACACTAAGTAGAAATAAACACATCGTGCAGACAATGTCGGCTGAGCTGCAAGACTTTGGTTCAATGAATAATACTCACGCACTGTCGTGAGATGTCACCATAATGTGCGGACAGACTGTAGTAGCACCTTCCTAAAGTACTGCATCTCTTGTATATTTACAGTTGGCGAGACCTTAAAACCGCTTTGACATCCAAAGACATACTCTTCCGAGATAATGTGCCAACAGCAATCCTAAGGGAACGGACCAAGCCACGGAAACCGAAGACCGAAGCGAGGCCAACGTTTTCGGTACGGTACATACATGTTTATAAGCGCAGCGCACATCATACACGAGAGTACCATCTCGGCAGAGAATGTTCTTGGATGCCAGAGCCGTTTTCAGGTCTCGCCAACTGGAATAATGCAACACGTACACAATTTTAAGAGGGTGCTTCTACGGTCCGTCCGCGCAACATGATGATGATATCTCACGGCAATGCATGCGTCTCGTTCACTGAACCGAAATCTTGTAGCTCAACCGAGATTGTCGGCACGATGTGTTTACTTCTAGTAGGTGTGAATCGCACTATAAGGCCTGGTGTTCCAAGTGTCCCGCGCCAATGAACGTATACGTACCGTGCCGAAGACGTTGTCTTTGCTTCGGTCTTCGGTTTCCAGGCTTGGCCTATTTCCTTGGGGCTGCTGTCGGCATTCTATCTCGGTAAAGTATGTCTTTGGATATCAGAGTGGTTTTTAGGTCTCGCCAATTGGAACTATACAACAGGTGTACTACTTTAAGAGGGTGCTACTACAGTCCGTCCGCGCATGATGGCAGCATCTCAAGGCAATGTATGAGTATTTTTCACTGAACCGAGGTGCTGTAGCTCCACAGACTCTGTCGGCACGACGTGTTTATTTCTATCAAGTGTGAATTGCATTATCCGGTCCCGTGTTTGGGGTGCACTGCGCCAACTGACGTATATGTGCAGTACTGAGAACGTGGGATTTACTTCGGTCTTCGGTTTCCGGGGCTTGGCTTATTTCCTTGGCATTGCTTCTGGCATGTTATCTCAGTAGAGCGCGTAGTTGGATGTCAGAGTGGCTTTAGGTTCCGCCAATTTAAATTACACCAGAGGTGCACTACTTAAAGAGGGTGCTAATACAGTCCGTTCACACAACATTATGGTATTGCCTCACGGCAATGCATGCGTCTTATTCACTGAGGTGCTCCTGAAACCACATGTGACCTGAAAACGACTCTGGCACCCAAGAACATTCTCTACCG